TAGAGAAGAACAAAGACATAAAAAGAAAAAGGGAGAAGGAAGTCATGAGAGAAGGTGTCACTAATCTTCTTTGGAACAGGCTCGAAAAAGACGCTGTTATTTTGTTTTACTTTTTTATTTTCCATAAACTATAATATATATATATATATATATATATATATATATATATATATATATATATATATGTATATATATATATATTTTAAGTTATGAAGAATTTGGTAAACCGAATTGGTAAATCCAAGGAGGATGAAATCCTGTGTGTGTGTGCGCGTGTGTGTGCGCGCGTGTGTGTGCGCGCGTGTGTGTACAAATCCCTGGGTAATAATCCACTTGAATCCTATTAAATTAAAACACAATTATGCCGCATTTCCATGGAATTTATCCCGAGGAGCGAAAAAAATGAGGTATGATTGAGCTTCATTTTATGCAATTCATATATATATATATATATATATATATATATATATATATATATATATATATATATATATGGCCTGACAATTGCGTCTATCATGAAACAGCCTGTCGACTCTATGTGTTGACTTCAATGTTCACTTTTATATATACACACTCTCTATCTCTGATATTGAGCACTTATCCCATAAATATAGCACATTTCCGACCATATTCCTTGATATATATATATATATATATATATATATATATATATATATATATATATATTAAAAAAGAAAGAACAGTAAGATATAAAATGCGGTGTTTTGATTGATATTTTTATTTTTACAAAACTGTGCTCAATGTCAATTTACAGAGCATAAATATAAATTAACTGATTAAAAATACACTATATATTAAATCAGTTAATATATATATATATATATATATATATATATATATATAAATATATATATATAATTCATATATATGTGCGTGTGTCATTCATATATATATATATATTTCTATAAATGGGGATTAATTGAATTTAATTTCCATGTAATTCATATATATATATATATATATATATATATATATATATATATATATATATATAGTGAGAGAAAAAAGAACGGAGAGAGAAAAAGTGAGAGAGATGGGGATATATGTAGACACATATGATGTTTTATATGCGAGGTAATAATGTGCATTGATACATTTCAGGTCTCGTCAAATAGATCGTAACTAGCCCGAAGGCCGGTCAATAGCTACCAGTTAGCTGATCGAACATTAACCACAACTTGCAAGTTTAGATTGCTGTCTCGGATTCCACGGATGTAATTAAGAATGTCCGAAGGAGAAAGTTAATTATTAAAGTGGGAAACGCCACTATTTGATTAAAGAATATTTTTCGATATACGTTGCATATAGAGATAAGTATAATAGAATATCTTTGGTGTTGGAGTCTTCATGCAGTTAGATGTATACACTTACGCCCCAGGCCAGTCAATAACTGACTCCTGTGTGTTTGGAATGGTGACAGGGATGTTAGCAAGGTTTATAACAAGGCCCATAAGTCTCAACGGGCTTTAAACCTTGCAGTGTCGACTGAAATGCCGTTTTCAGTGGTTCTTTATAATTCTGGACCAAATCAATCCGCACTGGAAAACATTGTTTATATAAAAATCCGCTTAATATATGCCTGGAGAGACACTCAATGTAGAGTTTTAATGTTAAAATTTTAATTGTTTACGGAGTAAAATAAAATATGTTTTTATTTTTATTTTTCTTAAAAGTTCCTCTTTACTTACATGTTTTTTCTCCCTGGTATTCTCAGTATCCTTCTGTAGAACGACATTTTTGTGGCCTCTTTATATGAGCGGAAAATGTTTAACATTCCCTTCCATGAACACTCTTTCAACAATTCATCGCTCTTTTCCGGTTTCTTAATATTCCGTTTATCATTGGGAAAGCAAAATGCACTTCACATTTCACTGTCATAATTCCAGTTGACTGTTCGATCACCGAAGTTAAGCATTCAACCTGGTCAGTCTCTGAATGGGTGACCCCTTGGTTATACCAGGTGTTGTAAGCTTGAATGTGCTGGTGGCATGGCTTAATGACATATCACGTTAAAACAACAGTCCCTGTACGATCACCGAAGTTAAGCAACGTCGAGTCTGGTCAATTCCTCGTTGGGTTGACCTCTAGAGAATGCCAGGTTTTGTACGCTTGGGTGTGCTGGTGGCATGGCTTAATGACATATCACGTTGAAACAGCGATCCCTTTACGATCACCGAAGTTAAGCAACGTCGAGCCTGGCCAGTATCTTGATGGGTTGACCGCTTGAGAATGCCAGACGTTGTAAGCTTGGCTGTGTGGATGACATGGCTTAAGGACATATCACGACGGAAAACCGGGCAAACTTCGAGTCTGATCAGTACCTAGATGGTGTGACGCTCTGGAATAAAAGGTTTTGATAGCTTGGATGTGCGTGTAGTGTAATGGATAACGTCACTGGATTTGAAATCGTAGATCCGAGTTCTAATTCCAGTTGGGTTCGTTATTTTCACTTACGTGGAAATACCATTGGGAAACCTATGGAGCCACCCTTCTCTCCACTCGGTTTTATCTTAATTAGTAGGACTTAAAGTAAATAATTACTACCCATAAAAATTATTAAAATCTAAAAATATTTTTTCTGGATTTAAATATCCTGCAAAAGGTTGATAAACCGTAAAATAAAACAAAACAGTTAATCGAGATTTTACCTGATATGTGAGGAAATTGTTCAGCAAATAGGGTGAACGACATTAGATTGAAATTTAGCGCATTTATCCTTGATTCTTAATACTTCCTTTAGCATTTGGAAGTCAAAATCCGATTCGGATTTCTATGTCATAGTTTCCTACGTCTTTCGTCGTCATTATCATCCTTCGACCTCCCTGTGGTTGGTCGAAACTACATTAACAATCCCTTTCCGCACTGCTCTGTCTTGCATTGCCCTTCTCAGGTCCCCAATGTCTAACCGAGTCTCCCGAGTCATGGTGCCATGAAAAATCAACTTTTGCGAGAAGACACCCCTAGAAGGATGCACTAGAAGTAAGGTTGTGACGAAATCCCCGTACGCTGGTCGGCAATCTCTTTTGTTTGAGCTTAAGAGAGATCGGTCTTAGTTTTCCGTAAATTGTGTTATGCATTGCATGGGATCTCGAACTGATGTTCTGGATTTGTCTAAGCAGATTCGATTTTACTCGCTAGACAAATTGATTCTGACATCTCCAATTCGCATTAGTCCATTTTTCCCGCTTTCTTTTACTACCCTATCGAGATGTATCTGCAGTTCTTCCCTTCTACGTCTCCTATCGTTTGTGCATATTAAGCTGTTATGATTGTCTCCATTCTTAACATCTAGCTGTAGAATCCCATCTCTTGCCTCAAGCCTCATCTTAATTCCCGACAGATTTCATGCTCAGTAGCTACGTCATATTGCCGTGAATGTATTAAATGAAGTTTTCTAAAGGAAATGGGAACAATAGCAGGGTTTAATTAGAAAAACAACAACTAATCTTTGTATAAAATATTTTCTTGATTACCCGCTTAAACAGCGCCATCTTGTTCTAGCTTATGTTAGAACGGCAACTTTTCATAGATGATGTAATTAAGAGAGATTAATGAAGTAACAAAAGATTTAATCAATTATCGAGATTTTTAATCTTTAGGATCAGTGTGTTCATTGTTTATTTATCTATTTTTGTCAAATTTGACGATTTTATTTTATTTTTTCCTCCATTAAACTAATGCGACCGTCGTCTTTGTTGATAATTGTCTTGTTGGTCTTCTTGTTTGACGATCGTAATGTTTCATTCGTTTCAGTTAAATTATTTTAAAATAATTTACTCATTTATTTCAATTCAAACGCTCTTCAGACAGTGTAATAGAGTGCAATGTCGGGTCATTTACGTGCAATTGAAATTTTGGTGGGATTCCCACCCGACGAGCGGACCGCCGAGACAATTCATCTTGAATGAACGTGAAAGGACAAAGTGACAGCGAAATCTTCCAATAATAGAAGGTAAAAGCGAAAATAATAAAATAATAATAATAATAATAATAACAACAGCAACAACAACAACAACAACTCATTAATGTTTAAGTTGTGCAGGGTTAAAAGCTGAAAGCGATGGTTTCATTCTTGCAGCACATAACCAATGCTTGCTAACTATAAATTACCAATCATGCATATTGAAAAATTGTGTTAGCCAAAAATGCAGATTCCCTGATTATTATCCACAAACAATTGAACATCTTTTATCAGGTTACACGGTATTGGCACCCACTGAATATAAACCTCGGCATGACAGAGCGGGTCAATATCGTCATTGGAAAACCTGCAAATTTAACGTAAAGGACACTGCAAGAAATTGGGATCAACGCCACCCAGACCCGTTTACCAAAATAGGACCTGCAACAATTTTATGGGACTTCACAATACACAGAGACAGAATAACCAAAACTAATCGCCCAGACAGCGTGATCAGAGATTACAAAAATAGAATATGACTTCTTATTGACAAGGAGGACCCAGTAGATTGTAATGTATCTTCAAAAAATATCAAATACAAGGACTTTGAAATCGAAATCTCAAAAAATCTCGTGAGGAGATCAATAATTCCAGGTGAAGTTGGAGCCCTCGTTTTGATTGGGAAATATCCCGCTAGATTCACTGAAGGGATCCCTGGTAAACCAAACCTTAAAGAAATACAAAAATTGTACTCAAATGTACAACTCACTCTTAATGAAGGGTTTTCTCCATTTTAAATTGTGTGTGATCTTTTTTTTTTTTTTAATGCTCGGTAGAAAATGCCATGATGTCATTCCAGACCATAAATGTATGGTTGGGACCCGGAAAGAAATGAGCATACACCAGAAATAAAAGGAAATAAAATAATAATAATAATAATAATAATAATAATAATAATAATAATAATAATACCTGTTAACCCATGCCTTAAATAAATACAACAAAACTGTACTCACAAGTACAGATCACGCTTATAAAGGCTTTATCATAATGTCGCAAAACTGACACAATGCTCCAGCTGGTCCTGGAGGAAGATGACAATCTATCTATCTATCTATCTATCTATCTATGGGGAAACGATATATAA